TCTTGGCCTTGTAAATATCGAAAGAGATCCCAAAATCGAATCCTCCTCTCCATTGATTAAAGAAAACAATGCAGCCACTGTACTTGCTATATCAAAGTTGTTTCCAAGATACAAAACGATGCGCAAACTTGCAAGAACAAAGTATTTATGTTTATGTACTCAGAATTCAGAAATGCCTTAAAAGGCTAACAAAAAACAATCAAACTGCAAAACCAGCGTATCAACCCCTAAACCCCATCTGACCAGAGCTGGAATGTCATATCTGGCTAAAACTTATATGTCAAATATCCAATCTATATACGACAAATGTTGAGCAATGCCCCAACATTGCCAGAGGCTGCTCCTAACATCTCCATACGAAAAAGAGAAAAAAGAATAACATGAAATAAGGGAATCCTTCTGCAACCAAAATTGGAAAACCTGCTGTAAGGACTATCTACATTTTCCCAACAGGCTTTAGAGCAATGAGCCGCTTCAAAATCCACAGAATAAATGAGCCAAGGCCCCAATATAAATTGCGTCTGATGATGGCACAGGTAGAAGAAACTTTTGAAGCATTAGGTTTGTTTTTTCATGTCCTAGCTTGTCATGAAAATCACGAATGTGCAGATGGGTCTACCCAGTGCCATTGTGTTTTTGGAGACACCCACAATCTGGCAAAGGGTAGCTGTATACAGAAGATTTTTTGGTGAATTTTTTCACTCTAGGTATTATCTTTCCCTTGCGGTCACTTTCCGTGAGCATTGCTTCCATCTCAAGTTTGAAATCTTTCCAGCTGCAAAACCAAATATATACAGAGTTTGCACATAAGCCTACTGTTAGCATATATAAACTTGAAATTAAAATCAGGGTGTTGCAAGCAAAAAGTATTTTATTTTACAGAAACTACACTTACACAAATTACCTGATACCCATGTCATGCAGTAAAACAACAAGCTTGCGCTTGTCAGGTATAATAGTCTTGGCATGTCCACCATTAAGGAATCTCCGATGACCCATTAGGAAATGTGGGAAGTTCCCACCCTGTGTTGTTACAAAAACCTCACTAGACAAGCATACTGTATAATCCAAAGCTGCCAATCTCGAAGAATATCCCTAGCAAAAGAGATAACCAGATTTAGAGCAAGTATGTGGAAGTTCAACATGAGAGTGGCTATTTCATTTTCGGTACAGCTTGGTTTCTACAGAGTTCATAGCATTTGTCAACCCATTACTAAAATCATGAATTTAACCAGGCTGAACTTTACACTTTCAAAGACAGATGTAGAGCCAGAGTAGATAAGCTTTTAGGGTGGTAGATTTCAAAGTGATAGTTTCACCAATTCCAAAATACTCTCTTGGGCACACAGTTAATAAAAGCTAGTAAGATATGTACCTTAAAAGGAGCAAGCTCATCTGGGGTTGCCAGAGACTCCTTTGTATGCAGATAGGGAAACATCTTTAGCAGAGGGGCTAAATGTTTCTCTGCCCAGTAGATTTTTCCTGAGGCTAAATAAATTGAAGTGCTATTATCAAACCCCATACCCCGCAGCATCATTCCAACCTACACTGACAACAAATATGCAGGAAAGAGATTATTTCTCCACGGTAGACAGCTATGAGCAAGAAAGTATGAGATACATGTGGAATTATGACTACAAAATTAGAATCTAACATAACCACATTTTCTCCTTTAAAAAAAAGGTTTATCGGGAATACCTTACATTCAAAGTTTTACAGGTCTAAAAAGCAACAAAAGTTATCAAAGTAGATTACCTCCAAAGGTTTATCCGGAACACCTTACATTCAAAGTTAAAGGTCTAAAAAGCAACAATAGTTATCAAAGTAGATTACCTCCAAGGGGGTTAGTGGGCATTTTCCATCAATCCTATTGAGACCAGGCAGAGTTACACGGCCTTTTCGTTTGAACTTATCTCCCCATCCTTTTTGTCGAATTGAATTCATTTCACTATTTTCAGCCTCTCCCCCATCATACAAACAACATGAGAATGCCACCATGTCCTGCAGGATGAAAAAAGACAGTTGATAACTTGATTAATTTCCTTGACCATTAAACATAAGATGAACCAAAAACTTTTAACAATTTAAAGAAAATAAGCTCCATTACCTCCTCAAAACGGAGGTGGATCGAAACATACTTTCCAACAGTCCTTGAACTCTTCTGAGTCATTCGTTCAACTAGTTTCCTTGCCAAATTTGATATGGGAGAAGAGAACTTCAATGCTTCATAATTAGCAAGGCATCTTAAATGCTGAATAGAAGGTGGGACATTCATTGCTAATCTATTAGCAAATGGAGCTATGCGGATAACCCTGCATAAACCAAAAAGCAAGCAAAAACAACAGAATTAACTTCCAAAGGAAAATTGATATAGAACGGAAAAAAAAAAACAGTTCAGTACCTACCCCTGCCTCTGCAGGATAGGATAAACTTCTCCTTTGTAATAACGGACAGGAGCCCAAGCTTGGACACGAAGGGTTGGTATGTTAGCGATGCTGTGATCATATCTCTCCAATACCATCTCAGGGAGCTCTTTAACCACTTTAACATGGCCTTCAAGGGTGGCTATGAAATGATCTTCATCATATATATCTCCAAAAGTGCTGCCAAACAAAAGATACTTTTTTTAATATTTGAATTGAAAGCACAATAAGGAAATTTCACAAGATTATTTACTGCAAGATTATAAATAGATCATTCTCCTCATGCTGTCTATAAGCTCTGAGTTCTCCTCTCACATGACAGGCTTTTCAATAGATGTTATTGGTCATTTAGATGACGACTGCCTATGAACCTGACAACCCCATTTTAGCTCCGGACACATTGAAGTAGGTTAGACATGGTTATACACACTTATCAAGATTAATGAGGCAAGCTTGCTAAACTATAATGCAGTATTGAATCAATGTTCTTCATTGAAAGAACTATTATTTTAAGTTTTAAGAGTCAGAACTTTAATAATATAGTTCCTTTACCTTGGATCCCTCCAAACATTATGAAATTCAAAGTTAGGAATAACGAGAATTGCATTCAAGAGTCCAGCAAGAGCCACAGCATTGCAAATCTGTGAAAAAGCATGATTTAGTAGGAAGAACAAACTGTATATTCCAGCACATAGGAGATATGTAAAGTTACCAAAAACCACACCATAGATATCTGGTAGCCTTAATGCTCTAGTTTTCAAAGAAAACAAATGAAAATTGAAGTAATATAAGAATAATGGGACAAGTAGCGTACCGCAGAGCGTTGTTGGTTAAGACCACCATTAACCTCCACAATCAAGTAAACACTAGGGCCAGGGGACTCTGAAATTCAATGGAGAATATATTAGGTGCCAAGAAAAAACTATCAGATAAAGATTCACGACCATTGATTCCAAAACTACCAAACCTTCAATTTCCCACAAATAAATTTAATAGTTTGTCAAAATTGTAGCAGCCATCTTAATACAAAATTGTGCTGTCTTGAAAATACCTAACTGTAGTCCAGCAGTCGAAGGCGGGCATGGCTTCTGCTCTTTCAGCTTTCTTCTGTATCTCCACACAGAAGACAACTACAGCAATAAA